AAATTGTCCGTTTCAAAATGCTGTGTCTGATTATACAAGACGCACGAAGTGTCCGGACAAGGAAGTAATTAAAATATGCACCTTCTAGCTTAAATTTAGCACGTCGTAAATGAAGCTTTGAAAGAATCTGAAACGCATATGGAAGAAAGGAGGAAGCGAGAGAAGGAGGGAGAAAGGCGCTTTACAAAATAAGTCATTCGTTGAAAAAGTAGAACTGTCCCAATATATGACGAGGCTGCAGGCAAAAGCAGCAGCCTACCATCATAAATCGTCTCAATTCATCAACGCCATCAACTTTCCTCTCCAAAATGCCCAACATTTCAGTTACAATTCTTTATCTACTCTTTATCTTTCCAGCACAGCCTTACCAAGAGTATGGTCTCATTTCGATAGGCAATCACCAATTTTAGAGATACAAACAATGAATATCCCTGGTTAGGAGACTGGAAGAGGACGAGGGCCTGAAATTTTCTATGTGTTAACACATGCAGTTTGTTTGGCGTTGCTGGTCTACCGTGGAAAGGAACACAATCGAATTTTAACAATTAATGAAAAACTGAAAGTGGTATTTAAATCTCCCAAATAAGCAAGCTGTATATGCAGTAACTTGGTAGCCTGCCTTTGTTTCATCCCTGAGCTGTAAACACAGACGGCAGAATCGATGCGAAATGGGATGGGAATCATCAGTACAGTGCCCCATTCCGTCACGTTAAAAGGAACATGCTGAATACCGAAGGAAGATAAAGGAAAGGAGGGGAATGAGAGTGAATGTTAACGGGAACTATGGAAGGGAAAGTAAAACTAAACCTCGACTCGGCACTCGCTCAGTTATTACTTAGCATAACTTCAAGCTTACCGAACAACACCATTAAGACCATCGGCGGATTCAGAGGCGGTCTACCGGAGGGGAGTGAGCGATTTTTCACCTTCCCTTCTTCCTTCGGCACTGCACCCCTTCCCCTCCTCTCCCCTTCCCTAGGCCAGCTCACAACCCACTCCTCGACCGTCGCGATACCCTCACCCATACTGGTGGACACTAAACTGAAAGTGTCAGGGCTCCTGAGAAGGGAAGGAGGAGTAACAGGCTGTACCGAACATACTTTTGTACAATAAAACGACTATTACCTGAGCTTCTGGGGGGATAGGGGCGGAAGGTCTTTGATTAAGACTGACTTTTAAAAATACCAATAAGTCCCAATTTCAAGTAATCTCTAAACAAAATTACTGTACTGTCAATGCCCAACAAGGAATGGCAGAGACGATACTTAGCATAAAAATCAAAAAAAAGAAAAAAAGAAAAAACTGCGCCTCATACCTGTCTGAAACGAGGATGCCACGGTTGCAACGCCGGCTGCATTCGTTGCTGGCTGAGTGAAACGCTGCCTTTTTGGAGTTGGTGATCCGCTCATTTCCCGCTCCACGTCAACGCAACCCGTCTTCTATAACACAGA